CTCTAGTCTTGGAACATTACGTGACATCGAGCTTCTGGTTAAAAGCAAGCTTTCTTCCATGTTTTAATTTTTTTAATGTTTATTTTTGAGAGAGAGAGAGAGAGAGAGAGAGAGAGAGAATGCAAGCAGGGAAGGAGCAGACAGAGATAGGGAGACACAGAATTCGAAGCAGGCTCCAGGCTCTGAGCTGTCAGCACAGAGCCTGACATGGGGCTTGAACTCATGAACCATGAGATCATGACCTGACCTGAAGTCAGATGCTTAACCGACTGAGCCACCCAGGTGCCCCAAAAGCAAGTTTTCTTCTAAAAGAATTATAGATGTCACCTGTGGTGATTTGCAGGCTGAAAATAGGAGGTTCTGTTTGGCCCCTCAAAGGTCTGCTTCCAGCTCTGGTCTCTGACACTACCAAATGTCTTTTTAAAGTCACTTAAAGTCCTGGGGTCTCGTTTTCTCCATCCATAAGATAAGCTGGAGGGGAAAAAAAAAACAAAAAAAACCCCAAAAAACAGACAATCTCTAGGTTCCCTTCTAGGTCAGGATTCTCTACTCTGCCTGTGGATCTCCTGTACCTGTGACAGGGCCAGGCATGTTGGACACTGAGGTCATGTCCCTGGAACACACACCCTCATCTCATGCAGCACGGCTGATGCCCTGGGGCTGAGCAGAGAACAAGTCCAGGGTTGTCCCGGGCCAACAACAGTAAATGACACACGAATGCCATTCATTCTGTTATCCTAAAGTCAGCATCATAGGATCAGAAGTGCACTCAAAATCACCAAGTGCCCTTTTTGGAACTCTGGAGCCTATGGGAAAGCTGAATTAGAAACCAATGGTGTTGGGAGCATGAGTTAGCAGTTTGGGAGCAATTAGCAGTTTGTTTAGATAAACTTAACGGTATCTTGGTCATCTGCGTGGTTTTTGTTAAACTAACCACTTCATTCTTGGGATAACTTTTGCCCTGGATTTCCTTAAAGTGACATTCAATCTCTAATATGGCATGGGGGTAGGCAGAATAATGCCCCCCCCCCAAAGATGTCCACACTCTAAAGCCTGGAACCTTTAGGGGCGCCTGGGTGGCTCAGTCGGTTAAGCCTCCGACTTCAGCTCAGGTCACGATCTCGCGGTCCGTGAGTTCGAGCCCCACGTCGGGCTCTGGGCTGATGGCTCAGAGCCTGGAGCCTGCTTCCGATTCTGTGTCTCCCTCTCTCTCTGCCCCTCCCCCATTCATGCTCTGTCTCTCTCTGTCTCAAAAATAAATAAACGTTAAAAAAAATTTTTTTTTAAGCCTGGAACCTTTGTATGTGTTTAGGTTCCATGGCAAAGGGGAGTTAAGATTACAGATGGAATTAAGATGGCTAGTTAGCTGGTTTTAAAGAGACTCTTCTGGATCATCCAGGTGGACCCACTATAATCACAAATTTTTTTAAGTTTATTTATTTATTTTGATAGAGAGCGAGAGAGGGGCAGAGAGAGAGGGAGGAGAGAATCCCAAGTAGGATTCGCGCTGTTGGTGCTGGGCCCAATGTGGGTCTCAATCCCACAAACCGAACTGTGAGACCGTGACCTGAGTCAAAATAAAGAGTCTCATGTTTAACTGACTGAGCCACCCAGGCGCCCCTAATCACAAGTGTTTTAAAGTAGAAGAGGAAGGCAGGAGGGGTCAGAGTCAAGGAGGGATACTTGAGGATGCCACACTGTTGGCTTTGAAGATGGAGAAGGAAGATGAGAACCAATAAATGCAGGCAGCCGGCCAGAAGCTAGAAAATGCAAGGAAACAGGTTCTCCCCTAGAGCCTCCGGACAAACACCTTGGTTTTAACTCAGACCCATTTCAGACTTCTGACCTCCAGAAGTTTAAGAGAATAAGTATTGTCTTAAGTCACTAAGTATGTGGACATTTGAACCAGCAACAAGAGGAAACTGCTAGATGGCATGTATTACAATAATTCAGAAATTTACTATAATGATTTCATTAAGATAGCTGAAAATCGATCAACTTAAAGCAAAAGAAATAGTCAATTAAAAATTCCAGACTGGGGGCACTTAGGTGGCTCAGTCAGTTAAGCATCTGACTCTTCATTTCGGCTCAGGTCATGATCTCGTGGTTGGTGACCCTGAGCCCCACGTCGGGCCCTGTGCTGACAGCTCAGAGCCTGGAGCCTGCTTCGGATTCTGTGTCTTTCTCTCTCTGCCCCTGCCCTGCTCGCACTCTGTCTCAAAAATAAATGAATGTTAAAAAAAATTTTTTTAATTAAAAAATAGAAGGAATCATGACAGGAGCACCTGGGTGGCTCAGTTGGTTAAGTATCTGACTCTTAATTTTGGCCCAGGTCATGATCTCACAGTTCATGGGGTCGAGCCCAGCATCGGGCTCTGTGCTGACAGTGTGGAGCCTGCTTGGGGTTCTCTCTCTGCCCCTTCTGTGTGCACGCATGCTCTCTCTCAAACTAAATAAATATTTAAAAGCAAACACACAAAAAAAGGAATCATGACCTTTATTTTTTGTCTGCTCCTCAGTAGTGAGCCCTGGAGCTTACACGGAGTAGGAGCTTAGTAAATATTGCTCAGCTGAATGATAAACCTTCAGACAGAGGTACTTTAGAGCATGTAGAATGACACCAATGAAACATAAATAGGTCCTGATGTATCAAGCATTCATTCACTCTCCAGAGACACGAGCTACCAGGGACCGGAATCAATCAGCAAGACCAACAGTATCTGTTCTATTTCAACAGATACCTCTGCTACCAGCTCTGGAACAAAGTTGCCCTGCAACTCCTTGAACTGCGGCGAATAAGAGTAACTTCTTTAACTTTCAAAACGAAATTGAAAGGGAAAAAAAGGAAATAAAATCCGATATCGAAAAACTAAAATAAAAAAAAAAAGCCCTTATTTTCCCTAATACACTTATCTGAGTTTGGAAACTTTTCACGCAGAGAATTGGTACTTTCCTTGTGGGAAATGGGTACCCCGAGTTTTTATCCCCACAGGCAAGGTGGGGAGTTGGCAGAATTCATTTCCTTTTCTTGCTTTGGTAACCATCTGAACCGGGCACAGGGAGCTCTGTTCCTTGCCCGAGGCCTCTCCTATTTCGGTTTGAACAAGGGACAGGTGTGGTTCAAGGGTAGTTATAAGGTGAAGATAAGGGCCCCACAGGGCTCCTGCCCACAGGGTGGAGTCACTTGGTCTGTAAGCTGTCACCAGAACCTTTGTTTTGTTTTAAAGTGGTCTGAGATGAAATGGCACTTGTTAAAGAAGAGAAATTCCTTACATTTTTAAGAACAAGATCAGAGCTAGATAAACAACTGCCCAGCTCACTGTTGTATTATACAATAATCCGGGGATTACCATGAGTCACCCACGGGACAGTCTCTATGAAGTCGAATCAGAACAAGCAACACCGAATTGGGGCCACAGAGAAAGTGCACGCACGTGGCGTGGCCACATCAGAGCAAGGCTTTGGTGATGACAGGCCCAGAAGGCTCGAGTGGGTAGCTCAAGATCTGTTCTTGCCAGAGAGGAATGAAGGAAACGGGG